AAATAAAAAAAGTAAACAAAGAAAAAAAAAAAAAAAGAAAGAGACTTCAACAACGTGCCAAGGCCACCTCAGCACGGTGCCCAAAGGCATGGCCCAGCCCCTTGTCTACTCACCAGAAGGGAAAGATAATGAGGCGGCTGATGAAAAATATGGTAGAGAAGATGAGAAACAGGGCGTTACAGGTTTGCTTCCATCCGGCATAAGAAAACATCTTAGCAGACTGAAAACAAAGAAAGCAATTGCATTCAGATAACGTGATATTAGAATAAAACTCTGAAATTAAATATTTATAAATGAAATGATATGATGTCTGGGATTTGGTTCAAAGCGGTCTGTGTAGGGGGGGTGGGGGAGAGGGATGGATGGGGAAATTGACGAAATGAGGTTGGCCATACTGATAACTGGTAACGCTGGAGGATGGGCCACTGGGTCCATTATGCTCTTCTCTTTGTCATACGTTTGAAATTTGCCATAATAGAATGTTTAAAAAAAGATATGTTCAAATGACTTTATTTATTTACTTATTTGTTCAAATGACTTTAATACTACTCCTGTCCTTCACAAGCATTACAAGTTAGCACAGTGCATGCTAGCATGCATTTTATTGGGGCACCTGTTTATTTTCTCCATTTAACTGATTGGAGAGCTGGTCTGGAGAAAGGTTGAGCTGTGAGTGAAGTCCTGGGCTGGGCTGGGCTGCGCACGTTGCAATCAAGGCAGCTGACAGAAGGGGCAGAGTGAGGAGGCTGCTCTGGGGGCCCTGTCCTGGTTGAAACAAAGTTGCAAGCACTCGATTTTTCTCCATTTACTTTATGCTAGTCTACACTGCCCGTATGATCTATATTGAAGAAAAGGAATTACATAGTCTTTAATGTGGTAGTAGAAGGTTAATTGATGAGAATTCTCTCTTGCATTATCTAGTGGAGCCCAAGGCTGCATGGAAAGTGTCTGGACTTGGGGGTGGTGGGAGGTGGGTAGGAGTTGATGAGTGTAGGTCATCCCTCCAGAAGCGTGGCTCAGGTCAGGGTGGTTTCGGGACTGAAATTGGCCCAGAAGCTCAAAGCCACTCTAAAACAAGAGAGGCAGCCTATCTACGCTTCGGGAAGGGTTTACATTGCATTTTCCATACTTCGCCATATTAACCGTGGGATAAGGATAGGATCAGAGTGTGGAGTGGCAGGGGGCCCAGAAGGGAACAGCCTCAAATGCTGAGGTGGAAAGCTAATCTGCCAAGGGGGTGGGAGGCAGGTATGGGGAGATAGGCCAGAAATTTAGCGTGCCTGGAATGGAGTGAGAGTTGTTTGAAGAGTCAGAGGCCAGGCTAGGGGAGCTAGTTAGAGATGTGCATAGGCAGGAAGAGAGTGCACTTGTGAGGGCAAAGTAGCATTGCCTGGGGTAAATACACGCACAGCATATTCTGGGCTGTGCAAAGATGGAGATCCGACAGTCCCCTTGCTCCTTTGCTAAGCATGAGTCAGGATACTGCTCCAAGTGTTGGGTCCTGCATCCAAACTTGAACATGTGGAAAACCAGAGGATCAGGAAGATGCATGAAGAAGACAGGGGTTCCTTCTAAGTCAGAGTTGTGGATGTCAAGGCTTGTTTTTCCTTGCAGAGAAAGAGCTAAAAAATGACCCACCAATTGTCTTGAGGAATATGAAAGATTAACAGTCACCATATTTAGGAGGGTCTAAACAGGGGCGAAAGTTGTACCATATCTGGGTTCATGCCGGAGAAGGCAATGCTAAAGCCAACTATTCGAGGAATCTGTGGATTAGGCATCTTTGGAGGATATCAGAAATCAGCCCTATGCCACCACTTAATGTTGCTCTTCCCAGCTGGTGGAAGGTACTGGTCTTGCTCACTGAACCTCAGGTTAGATCATGGCTTGTGAATTAGGAGTGATTCATGATCGTTAACAACATGAGGCTGTTCTCATAGTTTATCCATGAAGGGACCTCTGAGTCTGACATTTCATTTTCCTTCTGTTTTTTGTTTTTTTTTTTTTTCACCTAAGAACCTCAGAACATTTTCCAACAGTAATGAGCTAAACCTCACAATATACCCTAAGGGGTAGATATGACTTCTCATATTACCGCTGAGGACAGAAAACAAAGCATTAAGTGATTTGCCCAAGTCACCTAGGGAATTATAGCATGTCAGTGATGGGGTGGGGGAGGGTGGGCAGGGACAACCCAGAGCTTATGCCCAGTCTCCACATCTAACTGCCTTTTAACAACACAATGAAGCTGTTTTTGCAGTGGACACACACCAAAGGCTAGAGGGGTTAGAAGCAACAGAGTAGCATAAAATTCTTAAGTCATGACCAATGTGGTCTTAATTTACAGGCAGGGTTACTGAGATATGATCAGAGGAGGAGGTAATTATAACAGATATGGCTACATTCAGACAGCAACACATGGGAAAACTGGCACAATTCCTCTGCTAAGCCATTTGCTGCCCCGAATAATCTTGACCTTTGGAAGGGGATTTACATGTCTAATGGCATTTACACAGAAGAAACAAAATTCTGTACACATCTAGTATTTTAACAGTAACCAGTTGCTTTGAAATGGTTTCCAGGACTTCTGGTTACATCTAGAATAGGGTTTAGCAAACTACCATCCAGCCTATGGGCTAAAGCTGGTCACCCTTTAAGGATGGGTTTTACATTTTTAGAGGGGTACAAGAAAAGAAAGAGCAAACAATCAGAAAAGAAGAATATAGGGCAAGAGATCCTATGTTGCCCACAGAGCTAGATTTACTATCTGGCCCTTCACCAAAAAGTTTGGTGAACCTTGATCTAGAAGAACAAGATCCTATCAAATTGAATTTCTCCCATACCAACTTATATTCAGCTATCAGCCGTTCAAGAGGCAATCCTGAACATGAGATGGGTTAGCATCCTTTTCCTCAGCTCCATTATAAATGAAAGTATTTAGAGGACAAACTCCTGGCTCTGGGAAATGTGGCCCTAAGTACAGCAGGAGAGCTGGCAGGCAAGAGAGCTGTTGGGTCACTGCCTCAGGGCAAACAGGGACCAATAGGAACAGAGACAAATAGAGAAAACAATCCTAATTTGCTTTGTTTCTCATGTTTTGTGTTGTTTGGGACTAGGAAGGCTCTTGTTTTAATGTCCTCTGCTCCAAAACATTCCTTCCTTAGAAAATAAATGTCATTTGAATAAACATCAGCTCTCATTCTTTAAAGCTGGAGGAGGATCAGTGTGGGGCCAGTGCAAGCATCCAATGGGTATTTGGCTTTGGCTTAAGTAAATATATGGTACCATCCAACATTAAGAATCCATAATGCCACAAATCCACATTTTCCTTTTAAAAGATTAGAGTTCATTCCTTCCTCAAATATCTCAACTTACTTCCTGAGCTAGTATCTGCATGCAACTTTTACAAGTGGAATCCCATGGGTTAACATCTCTCGAGTACCATGGAGAAGACTGGAAACTAAACAGTACAAGGTTTCGTTTCTCTAAGCTTGAAGGATCTGAGAACCCAGAGACATGCTCGGACTTTGGGTGTTTTCAGGACGGAGAGCCCTGCTAAATCACTCACAGACCATTCTTCCTGCGAGGAGTCCCAGAAACTCAGGACATGGTATTGTTATTACTTTTTTTAACGGTTAACGGCAAATGTTTACCTCCAGCCAAATGTCAGCCACATCATGCACAATCATCACGAGGGTCCCACTGCGAATATAATTAGCACACCAAGAGAAGCTCATCAAGCTAATAGCAGCCAGGTGGTGGATGACATGAGCTAGAAAATCCTACACAACGAGAAGAAAATGGAAGCTATTAAGCAAACACAATTATTTTCTAATCACTGGAAGAGCTAACAACAACAACAACAATAATATTGTTTAAAAACCAACAACTTACATCTGAATATTTTGAAATTTGTAAAATGCTTTCACTTTGATTCTTAAACAAAATCCTTGTGAGGGAACTAACACATATTACCCTCACTGATGAAGTCACTTAACTTTGGGACAGCTTTGAATAGTTGTCATCTAAATCCTAACATCTGCTCTTCTTTCCACTGCCCCACACTGGATATATGTACACACGCCCGCACACACACACACACACACACACACAACTATATACATACACACACATTCCTGTGTATATTTACATTTATCCTTTACTCCCTAATTCCAAAAAGGAAAAAAGACAGATATACAATATAATAAAATTACACAACCATTAAAATAAGAGTTACCGCATATGAAACAAGTAACAAATGTAAGTGCAATATTACCAACCCTGAGCTAAAGAAAGCTACCACAATCGAGCATAAAAACTTAAATGTTTTCGGGCGCCTGGGTGGCTCAGTTGGTTGAGTGACTGCCTTCGGCTCAGGTCATGATCCTGGAGTCCCTGGATCAAGTCCCGCATCCTGCTTCTCCCTCTGACCCTCTTCCCTCTCATGCTCTCTCAAATAAATAAATAAAATCTTTAAAAAAAAAAAAAACTTAAATGTTTTCTGCCAACAAAATATACAAATGGCCAACAACTACACAAAAAGACACTCGACCCTCATTAGTTGTCAGGAAAATGTAAATCAAAACCACCATGAGATACCACTTCATCCCCACTAGGATAGCTATAACAAAAATGATGGACTATCACAAGTGTTGGCAAGGACATGGAGAAACTGGAATGCTTATATGTTGCTGGTAGGAATGTAAAATGGTGCAGCATCTTTGGCAGTTGCCCAAAAGGTTAAATATAGGATTATCATATAGCCCAGCAATTCTACTGAAATAAAAATATGTCCATGCAAAAGCTTGTAGATGAATGTTCATAACACCATTATTCCGAAGAGACAAAAAAGGAAACATCCCAAATAGCCATCAAGTAATAAATAGATAAATAGAATACCGTATATCCAAACCATGGACAATTATTTAGCACTAAAAAGGAATGAAGGATTGATACATGCTTCCACATGAATGAACCTTGAAAACATTATGTGAAGTGAAAGTGTCAGACACACAAAAAACCATATATTATGATTCAACTTATATGAAATATACAGAAGAGGCAAATCCATAGAGACGGAAAGTAGGTCAGTGGGTTGCCTAGGGCTGGGGAAGTTAGGAGAAATGGGGAGTGACTGCAAAAAGGTACAGGATATCTTTTGGGGGGGTGACAAAAATATTCTAAAAATGACTGTGGTGATGAGTGCACAACTCTGTGGACATACTCAAAACCACTGAATTACACACTTTCGATGACTGCGTTGTACAGTGTGCGGACACCTCGATAAAGATGTTTTAAAAAACACTTAAAGATTTCAGTTTTCTCGTAGCCAAAGTAAAAGTGTAAACATGATACTACTAATAATAGCCCAACTTACTGAGCACTTATGGTATACCAGCTTAATCCTCACAACAACCCTAGAAGACAGAAACTATTTTTAGCTCCATTTTACAGATGAGGAAATCAAGTTTAGGGAGTTTAGCCTGCTAGCTTGAGAGGTTAGTGAGTGGTGAAGCCGGGGATTCAAACCTGGGTTCAATTTTTGAAAAGGTACCCTATGCACCTATATGTAATAAAGAGAAACCAACTACTGAAAAATCAGATGTGGGAGAAAGACAGGATCATTATAGCCTTGACCCACCTTAGTATATCTATGAAGACCTTCTAAAAAGCGATTATCTTCAATTCTCTCCCTTGAGAAAATGACTCAAACAATTACATTTTGATGTATTCTTAGTTAATGACAGTTCATCTACAGCTATTGCTGAGTTTTATGGAAAAGGAGATTATTTCTATCAGGTTTTTTCATAATATGTTCTTTTACTTACATTTTATAAGTTTTCTTTTAAGATCTCCTGTTGACTGCAGTTGATTGAGCCCCTTAGTGATGGATAGGGTGCACCATCACGCACCCGAACATCACTTAATCAAGTCGGCTTGGTCTTATCTCCTTAATACTGAGTTCAACTTAGCTTTATTTGTCACACAAATTTTGCCACAGACTGACTTTTTAAACAGAGTGTAGCATATGAGGTATATACCAAGAGTATTTATCATTTGATCTGTGTTGCTAACATATATGATAAAATCTTGTGATTGCATTGAGAATCTAATATGGTTTTCTGCATCAGCAAACGGTTCCTAAAACGCCTCACTTTGTTAACTCAGAGGATACATTTTTTTTTTTAGCATGCCTGTGGCTCAATTTCCCTACATCTAAAGCAAAGCCAAGCATGCCCAAAGCAAAGTTTCCACATAAAGATCTTGGATGAATTAAGGACAACGTGTATTCAAAGTCTTTGAATACATCAAAGAATTACTATAAGGTGGTTTGTAATCAACTAAAAGATGTGGCTGCAGAATTAAAACTACTAGCACCTGTAATGAAGAACATCAAATGCCCGAACCCAAAGGGAAAAACAGACCACATAAAGGAGAGTTCTCCTCCTACTGAGCAAGAGTGGAACTTCCAAGTGAAAGTGTCTATAGTCTATAATGTTTCGCTGCAAATACTTATTGAGGCACCAAAACATGAGCAAGTTTTGCACCATCCTACGTGCTATAAAATGCAAAAAGGCTATGAATTGAAACTAACATAAGAACACAATTTAAAGATTAGGATTGGGGGCGGGGGGGGTGACAATTTTTGAAAAAGTAGATAAAGTAGCTTTGTAAATAAGACACTTACCTAAGGGTGCCTGGGTGGTGCAGTTGGTTAAGCGTTTGAGTCTTGGTTTCAGACTCTTGGTTTCAGCTGAGGTCATGATCTCAGGGTCCCGCGATCAAGCCCCACATCTGGCTCTATGCTCAGCGCAGAGTCTGCTTAGGATTCTCTCTCCCTCTCCCTCTGCACACCCCTCCCCCTGCTTGCTCTCTCACGAGCGCTCTCTCTCTCTCTCAAATAAATAAAATCTTAAAAAAAAAAAAAAAAGATACTTACCTTCCTCTTGACATCAGAGCCAAGACTAAATATCAGAGACCAATAAAAACTCATCTCCAAAATATAGTACCAGTACTGGGATGGCAGCAAGGGCTGAGGAAAATGAGAGTATTCGCTACTTTAGTATCACTGTATAAACAACTCCTTTTAAGGCATGAAACTATTGTTTACACCTATTTATGTTCCACGGAATTCCCCCAAATGATGATGCTTTAAGATTTCCATTTTGAGGGGCACCTGGATGGCGCAGTTGGTTAACAGTCCAATTCTTAGTTTCGGCTCAGGTGGTGATTTCAGGGTCGTGAGATTGAGCCCCACCTCGGGCTCCGTGCTCAGCACGGAGTCTGTTTAAGTTTCCCTCTCCCTCTGCCTCTGCCCCTCCTCTCTCTCTCTCTCTTTCTCCCTCTCTAAAATAAATAAATCTTGGGCGCCTGGGTGGCTCAGTCGGTTAAGCGACTGCCTTCGGCTCAGGTCATGATCCTG